GGTACACACTTGTACTCCTGGGTGGAGAGAGACAACCGTAGATAAAGTGCCTTGCCTAAGGACACAAGCGACTTGCATGCACAGCGAGAGTTTTGAACCCCCGACCTCGAGGTTGGTAGTCCAAACCACAACCGATGCGCCAACCACTTCCACAAGTAAGTTGGATCAAAAACTGGTGTCCGAGACCGGCAAGGTCTATAGATACACTTAATGAACTACGGCAGACAGCAGACTTGTAATAAAGTTAATGATAACTTTAGAACTTTTGGACTGACTAAATGATAGGATTGTACCCCATTTTATACATTTATGAACAGGATATGTGGGGGAGATTATTATGACATCACCACATAACTTTAAGATGAATTTACTAACTTTAAGATGAATTTGGGTTAAGGATGAAGTTGTAGATGACATCATCACACAACTCAGATTCAACAGTCCCTTAACCTTATTTGGAATATTAGCAAACAGGTGATTCGGACAACAAAATTTATGAGGGGCACTTTAGGACGAACTTTGTACATGCACTCTACAATATGGCTAATACAGTCTAAACTATTACAAAGTATAGTAAAAATAACATAACAGTATTTAACATTGTATTATTATAGTAAAACATTGTATTAACATAGTAAAATAAATGTATTAGGTATAACCTAACACCTAACACACCCCTCCGTGAAGGAAAAAGTTTGCAAACAAACTTTTTTAGATCAAAAGTAAATTAACTATATCTACACTCTTGACAAGGCATCAGCAAGTATATTATCCTTGCCACGAATATGTCTAATGTCTATATCATACTCCTGTAGAGACAAACTTCAACGAAGAACCCGTTGATTCTTGTTCTCCATTTTGTTTATGAACGTCAAAGGATTGTTATCAGTATGCACCACAATTGGGTGTCGAGTAACACACAAATACACATTAAAATGGTTCAAAGCTAGCATTATTGCTAAATATTCTTTTTCAATTGTGGCATAATTTAATTGATGTTTATCAAATTTCTTAGAAAAATAGGAAAGTTGATGATGTACGCCATCATCTCCAATCTGCATTAAAACTGCCCCTGACCCTATATCACTCGCATCAACATACAAATGAAATTGTTTCTCAAAGTCTAGAGCGATGAGTACAGGGAGCAATTAAGTATTGCTTTTATTTTATGGAAAGCAACCTTACAATCCTCACTCCATAGAAATTTAGCCTTCTTTTTCAGAAGTGCAGTGAGGGGTTGGGCAATGATAGAACAGTTTTTACAAAATCGCCTATAGTACCCTGCCATTCCAAGAAAGCGCATCAGTTCCTTTCTGTTTTTCGGTGTGGGAAAGTCCGAAATTGCCTCTGCTTTAGCTTGGATTGGATTTACTTGGCCTTGTCCCACAGAGTAAACCAAGAAATCCACTGTTCCATGGCAAAACTCACATTTGACAAGATTCACCGTAAGTTTCATCACCGATAGCTTATAAAAAAAAAATGGTGATAGTTCTGAGATGATCCTGCCAAGTGTTGTTGTATATGATCACATCATCAATGTATCCTTCGCAACCATCATTATCAGAAATCACGCTATTAAGAAGTCGTTGGAAGGTGGCTGGTGCATTCCGCATTCCAAACGGCATTCGTTTATATTGGTAAAGTCCTTCATTATTGACAAATGCTGAGATCTTCGCACGATCGGTGAGTGGGACTTGCCAATAGCCCTTGAGAAGGTCAAATTTGCTGACATATCGAGCATTGCCCAGCTTATGCAGACATTCATCGATCCGTGGCAATGGATAGGAATCCTCCTTTGTAACCGCATTCACTTTCCGGAAATCTGTGGAAAGTCTATAAGAGCCATCAGGTTTTGGAACCAGCACACAAGGTGAGCTCCACTCACTAGAACTAGGTTCTATGATATCGTTCTACAGCTTATACTCAATCTCTTTTTCAAGATAGTTCGCCTTTAAGGGATTGAGTCGGTATGGGTGTTGTTTTACGTTTTGCGTCACTAACATCCACATCAAGAAAAACCGCATCAATTTGTCCAGGCACGTCAGGAAACAAATGTTCATATTTCATCACCAAACATTTCAGTTCTGATTTTTCAGCATCATCTGTCAAGTGAACAAACTTTGTATCCAAATTAGCAAGGACATCAGAGTTCTGAAGTCTCAAACAACCATCAGTACTCAACTCATGTATACCACCATTATCTTGCTCATTTAAATCATTATCTACCTTTGTGGTACAAAAATCAGTTAATGCTGTAGTAGCAGCACATAGAGGTTTAATTTCATCATTTCTTTCGTTATACAATTTAAGCATATTAATGTGGCACAATTGGTTTTTCTTTCGCCTTCCTGGTGTCTCTATAGTGTAATCTCCATCACTGTATCGTTCACGATATGGCAATTGGGCCCTCTATTTCATTTAATACATTATCACCAGAGCGGGTAATTTTGATGTAGATGATCTTTTAGAAACGTCAGATAATGATGTATGCAGTAAACCTATAATGTTTGGTTGTATATTGAGAGCTCAAGAGAGAGTAGAACATTAATAGTTTTTTATCACCTTAAAGTTAATTATTGTAGAATCAATAGATGATGATTGGTTTAACATGTGAGTTAGCAATAATAATTTAGGCAGTAATTTGTGATAGCCATTCACTCTTCAGCAGATAGGGCCTACGCTGTGTTGCCCAGCGAAGAAACATGATTTAGCTTATTGTGTAGTTCATTAAAGATTTGATGCAGGTTAATTTGATGTTTAATACAATATATTCATTTTGATTGTGATGAACACTTAACTGTTAACGGCAGTTGATTATTGACAATGTTAAATACCCAGTATACATGCGGAATAGGCAAGTTAACATATAATTACTAGTTGTGAGTGAGAGAAGATTGTTTAACTTTTGTCAGTATTAGGCCACCGCACTGTTACTACAACGTTACTCGCTAGGGTATTCGTCACGCTTGAGTGATTTAGTATGCCGTTGCTATGCCAACGAGCTGCATAGTTAAAGCCTATGTTGTATTTTTTTTGTATCTTTACAGATTTCGAACATCTATATATAGATTAATGATATTACCGGTCATTAAAGTTTGAAATTGAGTTGACAACAACCAAGTGAGGGCGCAGTGTCTTATTTTTGTGCTTTATATTCGAAATTCTTCTTCAAGACCACCCATTGCTATGGATCAGGTGAAGAAGAGACGTGGCGTACAGAAAGGTACGATGACCAGGATCATCAAGGTGATTCAGACTGCCATAGAAGAATCAGGTCCTGTCGAGTATCTAGACGTTCTGCATAAGGACCTGACGGAGATCTGGGGAAAAATTTAAACTTTCCATGAAGAAAGATTTTAATGTTAGGCGATCCGGAGGATCAAGAACAAGCACAGCGGATTGAAGAGGTGGAAGGAAATTATAACAAGGTTCGTCAAGGCATAATAAAGTACAAAAACAAGAAGGAAGGTGCAGCTAAGGAAGGATATCCGAAGGTCCTGTTGAAAAATCAATTTGGTCAATGTATAGGCGGTTCTCATCCGTCCATTGAGTGGAAAGAAGAAGCAGGACTCCAGGTGAATTATGTCAAGGCAACCCCATTCGACGAGTTCCTGACTATAGAAAGTATGGGGGTCAACTGTCAACCCAAGTGTAGAAACTGCAGATGTGGGAAATGCCCCAGGGGAGCGAAGAACTTCACATTACAAGAGGAACGTGAACTAAAGTTAATTGAGGATAATCTGAAATATGCTGAAGGCAGATGGACAGCACGCTATCCTTGGATCAAGGATTCACGAGATCTACCGGACAATAGGTCAGTTGCGTTAGCAAAGTTGGTGTCATTAGAGAAGAGCTAGGAAAAGACCAAGCAAAAGCAAAAGCCTACAACATCGGGGTGTTGCAAGAGAAATCAAAGAGAATGTGTTAAAGGAATATAAGGGAGCAGTGCATTACATTGCACATCATGGTGTTGAAAAACCAAAAAAATACCAGCACTCCGCTGCGAATAGTTTTCAATAGCAGCGCTGCATACAAAGGTCACATCTTGAACGAGTACTGGGCCAAGGGACCTGATCTTGTAAATTTCTACTGACATTTAGGGAAAGGAACCATGCACTAGTAGGAGACATTAAAAAGGTGTACCATAGTGTAGCCATCACACAATTAGAACAGCACTGTCAACAGATTTTTATGGAGAGGGATGGAAACAGACAGTCCACCAAAGACGTACTGTGTGACAGCAGTAAATTTCGGGGACCGCCCATCTGCTACCATTTCAACAGTGGCACTGAGGAAAAAAGCAGAAGTAGGCAGCAAGTCAGCACCATCAGCTGCAGAGACGGTGTTGAAGAATGTGTACGTAGACGACATTCTTGAGTGTGAAGATTCAACGAAAACAGCGAGAGAACAAGCTGAGCAAATAGAGCAGCTAATTAAGCCAGGACATTTTGCTGTTAAGAAGTGGGTATTTTCAGGAGGCAGTTGTAAAGAGGAGATGTGGGTGCCTAAAGAAGAAAAAGTACTGGGCATTAGTTGGAATTCACAGAAGGATGTTCTTATATTTACCGACAATGCGCAAACATTCCAGAACATACCAGAGGTATTAACAAAACGCATATTATGCTTAAGTAAAATTAACTCTGTGTATGACCCATTGAGACTAGTTACACCAGTGACAGTGAGGGCTAAGATTCTCCTTTGCAGACTGTGGGGATTAAAGCTAGATTAGGATGAGTCCATAAGTGAGAAAGAGAAAGTAGAATGGAAGCGGTTATTTGAAGATTTGAGCACTGCATCAGGGCATGAGTTTAAAAGATGTGTGAAAACGCTGGAAGCAAAACCTGGAATACCACCAACGTTAATGATGTTTTCAGATGCGTCGGAGCAAGCACTAGGTGCAGTAGCATATGTAAGATATGAACTGTTGAAATTGAAAATTTGCATCACAAATCATTGCGAGTAAAAGCAGAGTTGCACCAATTGAAATCGTCAGTGCAGCCATGTTGAGTAAGAGATTGGCTCATTACATCAGAAAGGAGATGAGGTTAGAATTCGGCAGGGTGATCTACTTGGTTGATAGTGTAATAGTGCGAGCGATGATTGAAAAGCAAAGCTATGGTTTTAAAACCTTTGCGGCAACGAGGATTGGCGAGATCCAGCAAGACACTCAACCTCATGAATGTTGGTGGTGCAAAGGAGAGATCAACATTGCTGATGCAATCACCAGGGGTAAGAGTACAAAGGAAATCGGACCCAACAGTAGCTGGCAGTGTGGGTTAGAATTTCTGAAATGGCTAATTGAGCAATGGCCCATCCCATTGCACAAAACTGTAGTGAAAAGAATTAGTAAAAGTGGTGATGACTGTTGATGAAGAGGAGTCCCTAGCTGACAGAATAAACGTTAACAGACATAGCAGCTATCAAAAGCTATTGAGAGTAACTGCTAGGATTCTTCGGATTTATGAGAAGAAGAGGTTGAGCAGCGTAGCAGACGAGATCACTGCAGAGGATTTGAAAAGGGCAGAAATATTCTGAGTGAAGGAATCCCAGAAAACAATGGTTAAACTGCTAAAAGAATACAGGGCTCAATTTGATAAGAGATATGCTCGATTGGGCCCCAGGATCCGTGAAGATGGTGTGATTGTTGTTGGGGCTAGAATAAAGAGTCATGTTCACTTTAGCTATAACAAGGAAGAAGTGCCTCTGTTACCATATGATCATAACTTCACAAAGCTATATGCCAAGAGCATACATGACAGAGCTCACTTGGGTGTTCAGTCAACGGTAGCCAAGATCCGCTCTTACTACTGGATCATTAATGTTCAGAGAATGGTAAAGAGCATAAAGTATCATTTGGTGGAATGCAGAAAATTTTAAAAGAACACGTCAGCACAGCAGATGGCGCCTTTGCCAGTTAATTGACTAAAACCATCACCGGCTTGGACATATGTAGGTGTGGATTTGTTTGGACACTTCACGACAAGGGGAGAAGTCAATAAACGGGCAAGAGGAAAGTCATATGGCGTAGTGTTTGACTGTCTTGTGACGAGGGCTGTTTACATAGATATAGCTACCAGCTACAGTGCAGATGCATTTCTGCTTGTCTTCAGAAAGTTTGTGTCTTTAAGGGGATATCCCAAAGAGGTATATAGTGACGGAGGGACACAGTTAAGTGCTGCAGCAAAGCAGTTAAAGGAATTCGGTGGGAGACATGGCGTTAATTTGAAGTTTTCGACACCTGATGCTCCATGGCAGAATGGAGTGACAGAAAGTTTGGTGAAGGGCATTAAGAAAGTCATCAATCATGCCATTGGGGAACAAATACTTATCTTTAGTGAACTGCAAGCAGTTATGTTTGAGGCGGCAAACCTGGCCAACGAGAGGCCGATTGGCAAACATTCGATAGACCCACAGGATGGGGCATATTTGTGTCCGAATGATCTGTTATTAGGGAGGTCATCAGGAAAAGTGCCGGATGGTCCATGGAGTGACAACGTAAACTTTAAACACAGGATTAAATTGTAAAGAGTTTAGTCAATTGATTCTGGAGAAAGTGGATCCGAGACTATTTTCCCACACTGATTGTGAAACAGAAGTGGCATACTGTAAAATGGAATTTACAGAAAGGAGACATTGTAATGGTACAAGACAGCAACATGGTCAGGGGGAAGTGGCGTATTGGTAGGGTGACTGAGGCATCTCTGAGTGCGGACAATGTGGAGCGGAATGTTGAAGCGATGGTCGGCACAGAAAGTGGTCTGAAAACAAATATCAAACGGGCAGTACAACGACTGGTAGTGCTTCTCCCAGTAGAGGAACAATATTGGACTTTGGGGTAGTTTAGTGAGTTGAGTGTATCGTTCACGATATGGCAACTGCGCCCTCTATTTC